TGTGCCTTTCCTGAATATAATTCCATCAGATGTTTGTCTGCTACAAACATCTGCTACATATAATCAGCAGCTTATGGTGGCTAATGCTAGCTGGTAGCATACATTAGCTACTTCTTCAGATAACACTGAGTCAGTAATGCATGTGTTGACGTATGCTTTGGCTATCAGTGTAGCCAAAGATTACATTACTCTGTCATGCTTCAGACTGTTATAAAAGATATCATATTTCTTGGACAGCTAACACTGAAAGCACCTATCATAAATTTACAGTCTTTTTAATATAATGTGCAATTTCAGCTAAATAAATAAATGAAAGAAAACAAGAGTAAATTCATCCTTTCCAGATCCTGAAAACTAGTTTTATTGCTTAAATAAACCTTTTTTTCTTTCAACTTAAACTGCTCTAAATTTAATCTAAAAATGATTTGCAGACAGAGAAAACCAAATTCACCTTTGAAAGCAAAATAGCATGCTGTTTCATTTACTCGTTATTAATTAGGTTAATCATTAACATGATATGCTTTTTCTCAGTTTATTACTAACAGTGATTTGCTACAATCTTACTTGTTTTGTTGCAGTACAGTAAGCAGCTTATGGTGGCTAATGCTAGCTGTTAGCATGCATTAGCTACTTCTTCAGATAACACTGAGTCAATGATTTGAACTGTTTGTCTTTTAATAATGCATGTGTTGACATATACTTTGGCAGTCAGTGTGCCCAGAGTTTTAAAAAGAAAGACTACATTACTCTGTCATGCTTCAGACTGTTATAAAATATATCTTATTTCTTCGACAGCTAACACTAGGAGCACTTATGCTAACTTTACAGTCTCCATAATATAACATGATATTTTTTTTCCTCAGTTTATTACTCGAAGCGATTTGCTACAGTCTTACTTGTTTACGTGCAGTATAAGCAGGTTATGATGGCTAATGCTAGCTAACGGCACATTTCATCTAACAACACTGTCCAATCAACAGTTTTCTTCCTTTTTCCTCTTACACAGTCTGGTTCAGGGTGCAAAGTTGGAAAAACATTACGATACATGACCATGCATCAGATAGCTGCTGCTACTGCAAAAACAAACACACACACACACACACACAAAAACATGTTGTATAACCAAGAACAGGTCTTGCACAGGCCAAGGACATCTTTTGAAACTTTACAGTATCTTCACAATAATACGTAATTTTGCCAGGAAAACAGATCTGTACATTCCCTTGTAGACTTCAGACTCAGTGTTTTTTGTTGGCGTGTTATGATGCAAACTTGTAGTCATTAATCAAGGCTTACTGGGCTCTAACCTGGAGAAGGCAAATATTGATTGCTCTCAGATAAGACTTGACATGTGGTTACCCAGCTATCATCTGTGCCACTTATATAACATCAGTCTATCCTGATCACTTGTAATGCCTTTTTTTAATTTATTTTTTTATTGTTTAACATTAACTTCAATATCAACGCTGGGCTTTTAAATTAAAATGTGACCAGCGTGAAGAAAGAAAAGGATTAATAAACCGCTCTTAATTGGATAACATGAGCAATCTGCAACGGCTCACCTTCCTACTGTATCACATACATCAGACTTAATAGCACTGACATCTCCTGCACGAGGCAAAAGTTGTTGTTTAACAACTTAATGAGTGTCTGATTTATGACTGGAGCCCGGTGTCTGATAAATAAACAGCACAGGTGAGAGGGTTTCATCTCACAGAGCGTTTTCTAATCAACAGCTAAGAAGAGACGAAACATTTAAGGTTGTACTTGTGTGCATTGGGTCTGCGAATAAATGTGTGCGAGTGTGCCGGCTTGCTGAAGTGAATTCCACTCATCATTCAATTCTTCCAGAGTGTGCATAAAATAACTGATTAGTTGCATCTATCAAATTCCTAAATCTCCAATATTTCACGTACGTATTGAAATATCATCAAGGAAGCGCAAAAGGTCAATACACACACTGTCGGGGAGGGAGGAGGGGATAAATATCATCCTGTTCTTATTAACAGTCATGTGACAAACCACATCTGAGACTGTGTGACGCGGATATTCGCGCACATCCACGCGGGGAATGGGTTTGTATTGTCATGTGGCCGTGTGCGAATCTCAATGAGATGCATTTTGTGCCAAGTAGCCAAGGGAGTTGTTAAATGTGACGGCATCAGAACATCCAGTTTCGGAGAGGCTGTGTCCATGAAGGGACAGCGACACCCTCATGAGTGAGAAGCTCGCTCTGCAAGAGACGTGGAACTTTGGCAGCCCATGCATCAGCTAGCACAAAATGAAGCCTGCCTCATCCAAGAGCATTAAGATGCGGATAAATAAATAAAACATTGCCACCATGAGAGGAGAGGCAATGTGACAGCGGGATTTTTTTTTTTTTTTGTGCTTGCTTTCATGTTGGCAGGCGCAGGCATTTTATTTTGGGATGAATCAAAATTTCCTGAAAACGCCTGTGCCAGGTGTATCTAATTATCTGACAGTGCATCCTCATTATAAAACGGCCCCTGGGAGCCGGGCGTTCAGCTTGCCGAGCCTTGGACCGCAATCAAGGTGCTCCTAACAGCAAGCGCATGAAGATAATATAGACACTACGTTTCCATAGATGTACTGAGCCCACTTTTTTTTCTTTTTTTTTGCAGAGAACTAGCCAGTGTTTGCACTTTCACGATACTGTGTGTGCCCGTTTTCTTTAAAAATCCATATATACCTACACGAATGCTGTAGTTTTGCTTGTTTGCGGCGCATCCATGTGACAAACACGTGTCAGTACAGTTAGACAGTCTGAGGAATGAAAGGAAAAACAGCTATACATGTATTAGCAGCTGTTATGACAGCCCCTTGCTGTCTCAGCCATGCCCTGATTATGTCACCTGGATGAAGTTTATAAACCATAATTACAGCTTATTCCTGATTCTCTCCAGGGACGTGCAAGCAGGCAAAAGGAAAAGTGGGTGTGTTGTCAACACGGTCACACTAGAGCAAACTATGTTAGGGCATAATTAATGAGAGAAAAGGATCTGCAGAAGTGGCAGAAGTGCAGCTCTGTAGCTGGCAACGCTGGATGCTGATCTGGTGGGGGGGTCACCGTGGAGGACGCAACTGTGAGCAAGCCCACCTGTCTTTCTCCTGCTTATGATTTCCGGCCACAGCTTAAATCCCATCCAGCAGTGATTGATGTGGGCTTGGCGAGTGGGTCTGGGAGCATCACTCAAAGGCAAGATGGAGGAAAAGCTGCGGAATGTTTCCAGTTTATGAAGTGATGATGGCGAGGGAGGAGGGAGGGAGGGGGCAATCTTACCTAGGACTAATCTGTGGAAAGCTTTGCAGCAAATGATTCAAATCCGCTTTATGCTCAAATGTGTGTTTACTCACAGGGACACCTGAGCTGCGTGACCACTGACTTTCAGCATTACTTTTTCCCATATTGCAATTTGCTGGTCATCTAAAGAGGGTGTGAGCACTTCACCTGATGTTCCTTCTAGATTTGGCAACATTATTACCTTCATATAATTACTTCTACTAGAGATGTTTTTTAATGATAATACATGATTACCTTCTAATTTGAACTGGTTTAAGAAAGAAAGACACAAATATTTAAACTGACAGATCATTAGGGATTAGAATAATGATAAGCAACCCTTAATTACATTCCAAACTAGGATGAGTAAAGTCTTTTTTCAATAAAGCAGCTTAATATTAAGACAAACTCATCTGCATGAATAAAAACTGTGTTGCTGAGCCACATTAGCGCCTTTTTTATGCGTTACATTTTAGTGGACCCTGTGTCACAGTTTCCTCTGCTTACCCATTTAGTTCCTTTTGAAATGCAACAGTATCTCTTGCACTGCCTCATGACTGGCAGACCGTAATGCTATTACCTCTCCTTGATGGTCATGCTCACTTAGCCCCCTGTCACTCTACACTAGCCAGCGAAGACACATCTCTCTGACTGGCTGTCCTTGCCCTCATTTGCGAATGCTTCTCTTTGCTACAAAATACCGAGGAACCACAAACTTTTCACTTCATTATCTTGCTTTTTAGAGGCTTTCCACTTTTCTTTTCTTTTTTCCCCTCGGGCTGCAAAGTATGAGTGCAAATCACGGGTAATTGGCTATATATGAATCACTTGTCAGTAGTAGTCTGAAAAAAAGAAAAACTCTTTAACGCAGGAAAGGGATCGCATAAATTATGGAACGCCCAAATCAGGCAGTGGAGGGAGGAAATAAAAAAATAAAAAAACAAAACAAAAAACACAGGTATGTGCTGACACACTACTGCGCATGAGCCACTGTCAGTCACCAGTCAAATCTGGCATCAAAGCCTGTCAGATAACAGCAGCAAAATGGGTAAACTGGGTGAGTCACAGCCCACCCACCGGCTACACCACCTGAGTCAGGAGCTCTTGGGCACGCATCAACGCGCGCGCACACACGCACGCACGCATGCATTCATAGATAGACTAAGCAAATCGTCTCAGTTTGCAGAAGCAAACATTACACCAAACTTTCTCAACACGTCCCACAACTATGGCACAGAATAACCCCCCCTTAACGCACACGCACACATTTCCAGCTTGTTTATGCGTGCCCGCGCATCCTCCGGAGCGGGCAGAGCATCGTTCGGGGCAAAGATGGCTCTCTCCCCCTGTCTCTCTCTCTATTTCTATTTTGTGTGTCCGTGTGAGCGCAGTACGTGTTATAAATGTTGACGATATAAATTCTGTTAAATATCTCGCCGCCATCTGGAGTGTAACAGCGAGCGGCAGCCCGGTGCACGTTGCGTTTGCGCCACATTCTCCACAACATCCCTCCAAAGCAAAGATGTGCAAAAATGAAATTAAAAAAAAAAAACAGCCCGGGCTCCTACTCACATCGCGGCACGACACAGAACTTGGAGCGGACACAGAAAAAAACGACACTTTATTCCACACATGGAAAACATGACGAGCCGCTCTCGGCTGCAATTGACAGAATACGAAAAGAAAAAGTACTACTTACTCTATACCCAGGCGGAAGAATGCAAAGCCCTCGCAACTGTAGATAAAAAAGGAAAATAAAAAAATGAGGGATGCGCTTCGTGTTGTTATTTTTCATTCAAAGAGACCAACTTAGTAATGGATAGCTGGGTGTCTTCTCAAACGTGAAGCCTTTTTTTTTTTTAAATAAATGTATATGTACATATCTCTGTGTACAAAAATCTCCACTTACCATGGGCTGTCCGAATAAATTCCTTAGGAAATTCCAGAGGAGTCCCTTCTTTCTTCACTCAAAGTCAGAAAACAGCAATGCCTTTTTCTTATTCCAAAAACAGGCCCCCGAATGAACTGAAAGAGAGAAGAGACCGAAAAAAGGAAGAAGAAGAAGAAGAAGCCACAACAAATTCCGTTAGAACCAGGAGTCCCCCCCCTCCCCAACACCAACACCACCACCACCCAAAAAGTGTTGACCTAACATCTGTGAAGGAGAGCAAACAATAAAAAAAAGGCAACTCGCAATAAATTGGCGGAATGGACAGATGGTACCTGCTCTCTTTATCACTGCCGACAAAGACAATGAGAGCGGCAATAAGACGGGCACAAAACTGAGAGCTGAGCTTTCCTTAGGAAACGCAGTCCCGGCGTGCTGTCGGATTCTACGCGCGCGCGGGGGCACGCACGCACACACACACAGCTGCCGACGACGGCGGGAGCGAAAGCGAGAGAGGGAGGGAGGGGGGGAGAGAGGAGACCTGGGATGCTGCGCTCCAAAGCTGCACTACGCAGTCTGGCCGCTTGATGGCCAGCAAGAAGAGCTGCTGAGACTGGGATGTTTCCCAGCACTGTGAGAAGCTGGAGCCAAGTGTATGCCCTCATTATCAAATGTTTAAAAAAATCTCAGTGTTAATGTTAAGCTGCCATCTGAGCTACAAGCCCATCATTGTGCATGTTGTGCATTGACAGCTCTAAATTGTTCAAATAAACCCTGAAGCAGGGGCCTCACTTTAGTTCAGGAGCTACATTTAGCAACACAGATCACAAGCGGGTCAGCGAGGGAGATGCTTTACCAAACAGGCGACGCAACTTCTAAAATGTATTGCTGGTTTTTAAAGCATGCTAACGTTACATAACAATTTAACAGCATTACGTACCAACACAGTGGGGAAAAGCACCAAACTTTCAAAAGTAGAGTTTTTGTAAGTGAAAGATTCAAAACAGCAACAGTGTTTCAAACAACTTCCCCAGATCTAGAAATACTTTCCATCTAAGCTAACGCTATCATCACTAGATCAGGAGCAATTTATTTTACACTTTATTTGAATTAGACAAGTTTATTATGGTGCTCGTGTCCTTGGGCACAGTTCAGGGGGACGATATTTTACTTTTATATGATGATAACCCGAGCATGATGGTGGCACAGTCCATCATCTGAGCAAGGCCCCATCTCTGCGTGGGTTCTCTCCAGAAGCTCCTGCGTCCTACCAGAGACATGCATGTAGTTTTTCTGTTGAATGGTGATTAGAAATTACTTGTAAATGTGAGTACAAGAGTTTTCTGTCTGTGTTTTAGCCTTGTAACAGGCTGGTGTTCTGTCCAGGGTGTACCCCCCACATCAGCACCTGTGGCAGCTGCGATAGGCTCCAGCCCCACAGTCTTGAACTGAATAAGCAGAAGAAGAAGAACTGATATATGTTAATATTGCAGCTTTCATTGACTTTAGTGATTAGGATTTCACATTCAAAGAAAATAAGGACTTGCAATTTATCGTTATGTGCTGAACTAACAGTCATCTCAGGGGGAAAACACTATGCTTCCAATGGATGGATGGATTAGGAGTCTGGCAACACAGTGGCATTTACTGAGAACTAGATCGCGCCGTAAGACTTGGTCTAAAAGTAGTTTTGACATGTTTTTGCCATGAAATTGGGTCAGCAATAAAATCCAGTGTTACTTACGCTAAGTAAATTCAAGCCCACTGCAACTACTGTCATCTAGGAATAAGCACAAGTACAATTTTTCCAAAGACAGTGTGGTGTTTGCTGTCAAAATACAACTGTTGGGTTAGTATACCTTTATAACGATGAACATTGTAAAGGTATACCTAATATATTTGGAGCCCGCCATTGGCTGGAAATCCATGCAGTGAAATGCTCCACAGATAGAAAATACAAATATATATTATGGAAAATACACATTTTTAATAGTATTCAGTAAGACAGAATAACGGCACAGTGGCCTCTTGCATCATTTTAGTATATGATACAACTAGGAACACATTAATGACTACCATTTTTTTCACATTAAAGTCAGTGAATCCTTAAAAATTGCAGTGAGAAATGACTTCATGTATCTGTCAGTACTTGAGCAGCTAAAATGTAGTTGACTGTTTCTTAAGTATCAGTCCATCACAGGTTTTATTGTGTTCATCACAATAAAACCTGATGAGAAGTGAGAGGGGAGAAGTTCTTGCTAAAATGAGAAAAACACAATTTGTGATGGTGAATAGCAAAAAATTCTCAGTATCCTGGAAGAGTTCTTTTCGAGCAAAGATGGCGATTATTTGCTCATTACTATAGAAGCTGACATCGTTCCGCTATCAAGTGCAGCGTTTCCATTTATTCCGTAGCTCACCAATTCACAAGCACTGATCTCGAGCTGCTCCCGAGGCCTCGCTGAAGGTGCAAGTTTTTTTTGAAACTAATTACGCTGCAGAAAATTCCTACTGAGAAAATACTTGAAAGTGGAATCATCTGATCTCTGCAAGTGAATTTGTTAAAGCTGACACTTTAGATAGTTGTAATTCGTGCTTGCAAATGATAGCTTAGTTTAGGCTGTGGATGAAAAGGCTTACTTTATCATCTTCTTTAAAAAACATAGCGAACTGGGGAATATATGTAGCCCATGTTTAAGTTATCCAAATTAATCCAAAACTATAAGAGGTAAGACTAAAGGTAACTTTAACCACATGAAATTTCCCCTTGTGGGACTAATAAAGGTATCTAATCTTATCTTATCTTATCTTATCTTATCTTATCTTATCTTATCTTATCTTATCTTATCTTATCTTATTACCTGTGCAACACGCAAACTAAGGATCTTACAGTTGTTGCGTAGACAATGCATAATAAAACTAAAAGTAAACCTTGAGGTGTTTCTAGACCTTGAATGAAGTCAAACATTGGAAAGTTTGAAAGAGAAACTTGTCTGCACACAATATCTAACCCATGCGTCCTGCTGGACTTACGTGTAGAGGCACAGATATGAGGAGGGCTACAAAAATAGGTCACGCTGAAGGTTCCCAAGACCACAGTAGCCTTCACATTTCTTAAATATAAGTTCCTCGAAACCGGTTGCCTGCAAATGTTGGAGAAGTACCTTAATAAATGATGGGACCAGGAACTTGGTCATTCTGCCTGAGCTCTAGAGATCCTGTTTGGAGATGGGAGAAAAACTTCCAGAAATGCAATAATAATTGTAGGCTTTACCAGTCTGGGCCTTTTATGGCAGATTTGCCAGACAAAAGCCTCTCCTCGGTGATAGACTGAGGAGAATGAAAACCCGCTTGGAGAAAAAGCCCCTAAAGGACTTTCGGACAGTGAGAAACAAAATTCTCTGGTCTGATGAAACCAAGATTTCCTTTGGGAGTGCACTGGCCCCACTACACCTACCCAATAAGTTTTGCTTTATTTTGTAGCTGCAGGCAGATGAAGGTGGATAGACTCAGGAAAGAAGCTGAAGAGATTCCACGTAGTGCAGGTGACGAATGACCTGCGCTGACTTTGAGATGCCGGTTTGGTGACAAGAACTCTGCTAAGGTGTGTGGGGTCAGCGGTGACCTTGCCAGTTCTTTTCTTCTTCAACTCATGCTAGTTTACCACCTGCACTTTCTTCAACTCTGCCAAGTTACAGACTTTACATCCTGTAACCAAAAATAAAGTGCTGAAGTTACTGTACACATTCTGCAGGCAACTTAGAGGTCAATCTGTCTGAAGCAGAGTAGCTGTTTGAAGTTTGTCTTTTTTCTTTTTTTTGTGCATTCATTGACTCAAAGGCATTTATGTTCACAGTATGTATATTAAAACTATCAGAAAACACGAGGTACTTCTTAGTTTTTACATCCACTGACTATAAAGATTTCCCTGTTAAAAAACAGAAGCCTTTGTGAGAACTGTTAAAGGTTACCATTAGGTCTACGGCTCAGCTTGAGTCTGTTTTCAGGCTGTTGGCTTCCTGCAGGTTGGGATGGGTCTGTGCCTACAATAATCAACACAGACTCTGAAAACTGTATTACTTTCATCTTTAAAATAACTTTCAAATTAAAACCTTATGTCTTAGCCTTGCATCATCTCACAGTCACTGCTCTGCGGTGGACTGATTCCTTTTGCTAAGGCACTATGGTGAGGTTTACCTACCTTATTTTGCATTATTACATGGACAGATACATGTTTTGTGTGTGTGTGTCTTTGTACAAGTTATTAAATACATTGAGACTGGAGAAGTACAGCAAGCAAAAAGGCATTAAGGAGTTTAACTTACATGCAGCAGTTCTAGTACTCGGTTGGACCCCTTTGGCTTTCAGAACTACCTTAATTCTTCATAGCAGATTCAATAAGTTGCTGGAAACATTCTTCAGAGATTTTTGACCATATTAACATGATAGCATTGCATAATATCTGAAGATTTCGTAGCTATACAGCCATGGTAAAAATCTTATGTTCCAGCCGCATCCCAAAGGTTCTCTATGGGATTGAGATCTGGTGACTGTGAAGTCTGAGTGAACCCATTGTTAGGTTCAAGAAATCAGTTCGAGATGATAAGAGCTTTGTGGCATGGTGCATTATCCTGCTGGAAGCAGTTATCTGAAGATGGGTACACTGTGCTCATGTAGGGATGGGCAGAGTCAGCAATAATATTCAGGCTGTGGGGTTTAATACATGCTACATGATGCTAAAGGAACCAAAGTGCAACAAGAAAACTTTCCCAACACCATTACACCTCAAGTAGCATGAAACACTGACAGAAAGCGGGGTGGATCCATGCTTTCATGTTGCTTATGGAAGCTAATCGGGCAGCGTTTTGCCAGTCTTCTATCATCCAATCTTGGTGATCCCATATGAACTGTAGCCTCGGTTTCCTGTTCTTAGCTAAGAGGAGTGATCTTCTGCTGCTGTAGTCCATCTGCTTCAAGATCTTGTGCATTCACAGATGCTCTTCTACATACCTTGGTTGTAATGAGTTATTGTTGCCATCCTATCAGCTCACAGCAGTCTGGCCTTTGTCCTCTGACCTCTAGTGTCAGCAAGGAACATTCACTGAACTGGAATATTTTCTCCTTATTTGGATCTTTCTCCGTAAACCCTAGAGACGACTGCGTGGGAAAAACCCAGTCGATCAGAAGTTTCTGAAACAGTCAGAGGAGAAAGGCCAGACTGCTTTGCAACGTCCATGTCAGATTCAAAGTCAAAGTCACTTAAATCACAGTTGTTTCCTATTCTGATATTCAGTTTCAGCTTCAGCATGGTGATCACCATGCCTACGTGCCTGAATGCTAACATTACCATGTGATCCGCTGATCAGCGAGCAACTGAACAGGTGTACCTAATAAAGTGGCCAGAGTGTCTATATTTAGAAAAACCCCTAAATGTGAGATAATGTTTGGTTTTACAAAACAGTTTGAACATGAAAGAATTTTTGATAATGAGC